TCCAAATAGGTTGATATTAATGAGGGTTCTCTGTATTATGTGTTTGAAGCCAAATATCTAAATGACGATTTAAATGAAACAATAGTTTGTTGCATATAAATTTTATCACTACAGTACCTTGATCAGGAACAGGACTATTATATGTATTTTGAAAATCTAAATCGTCCTATAACAAATTTTGGCTTATTAATAGCTAAACAATAAACGTAACCAGTATCCAATTTACTTACATAAGTATTGGTGTTTTCGTATTCAGTAGGTTCTTCGTTTATTGGCTTATCAATTCGGGATGGTCCAGCTTGAACGTCCTCTTCTTGATTATAGTCATCGGGAGGCGGTGATGGTGTCATTCTCAGACGTTTTCGAGCAAAGAGATGATGAAATTGTGGCATAAGATTATGCGGAACATTTAAATCAAGGTAATAAGAAGCACCCGTTTGCCTAATCTCTCCGATCCGTAGTAAATTACGTGATGCTTGAAGAAAAGATGGCTAGAAAAAGAGTTCAGTGAATTTTTTTATTAAAAATAAATGCGTTTAATAATGATTTGCATTTGAATACATACCGTAATCAAAATATCGGAAGTGTCTCTGATTTGGTTTGCGATATGTCTATTGGGTAATTCTGTTACCTCGTCTACAATCAATTTACGTTTTCTGCGATTTGGTGTTACAGGTTGAATAGCTTCATCTTGAAATAGCTCTTGAACTTCTTGTTCAGGACTTCGTGGAGACAATGGGGTGAACCTCGTAGTCTCTTGAACCGTTTCATCTTCTTGATTTTGAAATTCATCCGTGATTGTAATAGTCGGTTTATCAGTTTCTGTATTTATGGTTGTCTCTACAGTTGCGTCAAGATCAACATCCATTTCTAGTGATCTTGTTTCAAGACCTTCTGATGATGGTCTACCAATATCCAAAGTTGGCATATCTACTGTGTCTTCTATGAGATTGTCATCCAATAAATTATCATCCATTAGATTTAACTCAGGTCCATCATCTGCTATCATCAATGGATCATCTTCGATGGCATTTTTGCTACCACTACCAATTACATCTTCCATTGTCATCGACAGCTCAGGATGTGCATCTCTCGCAATTTCAATTTCAGCAGAACCGTCGTTACTTTCGGATCTGGTATCGTGACCAAGCGTCTTCGGATCGAGCTCATCGTCCAGATCAAGATCTAGACCTCGTCCATCTTCTGTGTCGAAAGCATCACCTAGTAAATCATCTCCAATGTTTGAAGTTAAAGAAACATCGAAATTGTCTCTTATAGTAATGTCTTGGGGTCGGGAGATGTTAGATGAACTCGTGGTTGCAACCGGCGTTATATCGGTCCATTGTCTAATTTAATTATGTTTATATTAGTTAATTAGTAAGATGTGATTATTTAAGCACTTATCTGAGTTTCATTACTTGATATTAAGGCTGGGATCTGGTAATAGTATATCAAACTCCGTAATATTATCAGGTAATGTGATGGATTCAAAATTGGCTATTCGTTGTTCTTCAACTAAATCAACTTCACCTGGCCTAAATGCCTTTATACAAAGAAATATTAATATGTGATCAGATAAATGATATCGAATATAACTGATGAATAAATTTAACTACCATTTTAATTTTATGTAGAGCTTCGTTGCAGTCATCAAGCAAATATTTCGCTTTTCTTGAATATATGCGAACCACTCCCAGCAATAATTGCCCAGATAATCGTAGTGCCATTGGTGGTTGGTCTCCACCGAGAATAGCACCTTAAAAAGAATCGAATAAAGTAACTTTTTAATATAATACCATTCGGAATAAAAAGATTTCTTCGCAAGCAGTAAATCTGTTCAAAATTTAGAAACCGAGCAAGTAAACAGCGGCACAAAGTTTATAGTGTTATACATACCTACAGAAGTCTGTATATTTGTCTGTAAAAATTGTGCTTTACTCAGTTTTCGTTCCCAATGTGCAGCTAGCCACACTTTAGCCAATGGGCCCTTTTTGCAAGGTGTTAAAAAATTGGTGATAAGTGAAATAATCTATTATCATTTAAAATGAAAAAAAAAGCGGCGTTGAAAAAACCTTTTTTGACAAAATAGCCTCCGAATAAAACATTTTTCTTCTAAAAGTGATATGAGTCTAAAGGTAATAGAAAGTAAACAGTGAAAGCGCGAATTGATTTCATGTTTACGCACTGTAATAAAACCAAACAAAGTGAATATTACGTCACGAGGGGCAATCTTGTAGTACAAGGCAATGTTTCACGAATGCTACTAGGGAATAGTATTTATCTTATAATTGAAAATTTTTCTAAAATCACTTCAGGCTGTATAACAGTTATTTCAAGCTATTAATTGAACCAAAATATATGGGTTTGTGCTGAGAAGAGGGACAAATTAACAAAAAAAAGTTTGTCGAAAAATTGATTTTTATGTTATGAATTCTATAAAACAAAATTTAATCCTTAAGTAAAAAATTATCCTGGACTAATTTTGAAATAATTAAGCCCAAAAAAATTTCTTTTGGACCTAGCCCATATAATTTTGATATTTTTTCAAAAAAACTATTACTAATAATAGTCCGAAGCGGATTATACATATACAAGTCACTCTCGTTATAGTGAATCTTCGATATAGTGAAGATTGGCTTATAGTGAAGATTTTTTTAAGAATAAAACCAAAGCTATTAATGTTTCACTCGATATAATGAAGTTTTAATAATAAACTCTCAATATAAGATATAGTGAAGATTTTTTTAAAAAAATACAGTACATTTATAATAAATTTACTCTCGATATAGTGAAGATTTATATATAAAATAATTTTAACCAATAATATCAATTTAAATATTTTTTTAATATAGTGAAGATTTTTAAATTTATATATAAACTTCATTATATTAAAATTTTTAATATAAAAGTCTCTCGATATAATAAAGATTTTTGATTTTAAATATAAATTTTACTATATTAAGAGTTTTCGATATAGGATATAGTGAAGAAAATTCTTCAGTCCAACAATTTCACTATAACAAGAGTGACTTGTATATGTTCTTATATAAGGTGATAAAAAACATACTGTATACTATATTACATCATTTAAATCGTCATTTAGATATTTGGCTTCAAACACATAATACAGAGAACCCTCATTAATATCAACCTATTTGGATCGCTTTTCTATTCATATTGATAATGATATTAGTGAGAAATCATATTAAAAGTTAATATATGAGAGAATTTTAATATATACAGATTTTATTTTATAGCTTAGGTTGATATTAATAGAAATTCTCTGTACTATACTGTTAACCCTATCAAACAAATTATCTAGTGAGATTTGTAAAATGCTAATAAAAACTAATTTTATTAAATTTTACAAAACAGTAAAATAATTTTACTATTCTAATTTAATTTTGATATCTTTAGCTTTAAGATAAAATACACAGATTAAATATATAAATATAGTTAGGGTAGTGACAGATATTATATAATATTTTTTTACTATATCCTCTCCCCTCTTCTCTTACATAAGAGAAATTTGATTGACTATTATAAATAGTATTTCTATGAACTAAACTGAACTGAACTTTTGGCCAAGTTCAAGTTCAGTTCAAAATTGAACTGAACTTGAACTTAAACTTTTTAAAAAAAAGTTCAGTTCAGGTTCAATATTAAATTTTTAAGTCAAGTTCAGTTCAAAAGTTCATGAACATGTTCAAGTTCAATGAATTATATATATATATATATTATATATTATTAAAAATA